CTTCACTAGCATCCACGATTGCCTGCAATCTCTCATCTCCTCCTCACTACACGACCTCCTCCAAGTCGCCCGCGTGACAACCACCCACTCGTCGACACTTTCTGTTCAACATCCACTCCAGCGATGGGCTGCATTGAACGCGATATCATTCGGTGACCTCAACGTATTCCCGTTCCATACATCTCCGTTTTCTTCTACATATTCGTTGAGCAATTGGCTCTTGCCTGTTGGTTTGTTCATCGACAGAGTTTCTTCTTGCTACTTCTTTCTGGCTAGCCACCCTTCGATCTTCAGTATGAAGCCAGAATACATGAAAACTGTTTACAAAAGTCTGCAGTACCATGTTGAAAATCCTTTTCATGACGCCCTGGTCAAGTTACTGACCCATATAGAAAAACTAACTGGCTCCAGATTTGTCTTGAAAATCTGAATCTTTTCGTTAATGCTGGCTGGGTTGGTGCAGAAGAATTCTAAACTAACTGCAGGTTGATGAAAGCGCATCTTGCCTTTCCGATCTTGCCCGGCCTTGACATCTTCATCCGTTACGACTGCCCGTGGTTGAAACTGTGCTTCCTAGCCAAATAAATGAAGGAAGTAACGAAAAGAATTCATACCTACGAATAAAATCTTCAGAAAATCTCTCTTTATGACGAAACATCTATTCTTATTTTTTCTAGAATTTCTCCATGTAAGTTTTAAATCGTTTAAGTGAGTGGATTGGCGCTTGAAAGTTTGTCTCAGTGGTTGGAAATCAAGCACCTAGACACCAGTGAGCTACATCATCAATAGCCAGTCAGTGAGTTTAAATTCCGATTCACACGAATCAAGTAGTTGCTCTCTTGATTACCAGTTATAGTATCAAGCAGGTCATGTATTGTGTTTGATCGGAATAACTTGATTTCTATAGGAAACTGTGGTTAAATTTTACCACTCGAACTGTGTACACCGCAAATTATGAATCTGATTCATGGCATGACCAGTTCGACCACTAGCCATGAATCTGGTGGTTTGAACTGATTTAGCCGTCCCTCAAAATCGAGTCAAACCGAGTCCACCTCTGATGAGCTCTGTCCCAAACCAGCGGAACAGTCGTCCGGTGTTTAGATCCCCTTGGTCTGGCGAGAAAGCAATGCCGGTAGATATTATCGGTATAAAACTACTCATCTCAGCCAGTTAATAGTATATATTGTTTCATGCAAAATAGAAGAGTACCCAGCATCTACCCTGAAAAATATTTTCAAAATTACTTAAGTATTGTTTCTTAAAAGAATGCTCCTTTCTTGTTAAAAAGCTTTCACATTTACCATATGGCCATTTCATCAAACCCATAGGGATGTTAATTTCATTATACTGATTCAAATTAATTTAAATAGAATTTTATTTTGTCAATAAACACACAAATTCCCCAAGATCATTTTTTTCTCTAGTCTCCAGAAATGCGCATGGTTAGGTAGAAAATAAATTCAAAATGTGCATGAGCACATTTGGCTACCCATTGACATAACTGAGTGGTTAAAACAAACAGTATTGTGTTGGATGAAAATTCAGGTAGCCCAGTGATTCAAGCAGGCAGCTGTCTGAAGTCGAAAAGAAGCCTCGAATTAAAAAACAGGTGAATACCAATTTGTCATGATACAAACCTCCATTACTTATGCCATGACGAATTCCAGTTGGTATCAGTCGATTACATTGTGTACATATTCTCACCGGTTAAAACTGATCATTTCACGTCTTAGAAATAACATCGTTAGATCACTTGAATGTCATTATTACTACCGATAACTTGGCACTAGATGATTGAAGACAGTCGACTGAAAGAAGCACTACCGGACTTAGGTTTCGTGCTAGTTGGCTCTCACCAGTAGTCAGCAAAATGTTTCTGCAACCTTGAAGGAGGAACTCATGTCCCTACTGAGATTCAAACCCGCGTCATCCAAAGCTGCAGCGAGAGACGTTACCACTGAGTTATTCGGGCTAGCGATTGACCTCCTGTAGGACTGCTTTGGTTACTTTTGATTGGACACTAATCAGTAACTAGTGCAATGTGTCAATACCTAATTCCGGGCGCAGACTAAATTCTGTCATTCAAGTTTGCAACGTGACCACCACCCTACGTGGCTGGCCATCACGGCGCGTTGAACTTTGAATTGTTGGTATTAGGTGGTTGGAGTTACAAGGCCAATCTCGAGCCCCATCAGCTCAGTAGTAATGTCATTGACTGTAACTCTGGGTGACGCGGGTTTGAATCTCAGAAGGGACATGAGTTTCTTATTTTATTCTTTTATATTTTTGATTACAGCTTGATTCCACACCGCAATTTCAGTACAAGTATGGAATTTTCAGCATGGATATCGGTAGCCCAAATCTACAGGCCGACCACAGATATCGGGTGTGCGCCGGACCATGTGCATGGTCAGCGAGAGTCCTAACCACTGTGCCACTGAGTTCCTTCTTCAAGGTTGCAGATACGTCTTGCCGATTGGTGAGTGAAAAATAGCGCGAATCCTGGGTCAGGTAGGTTTTCCTGCTGATTACTTCCAATCATCTAATACCAACAATTCACAGTGCACGGTGATGATGAACCACCTAGTGGCATGTTGGCCACATTGCAAACTTGACTGATACAACTCAGTCTACACCGAACAAAGGACTCGGCACATTACACTAGTTACTGACTAGTGTCCAATCAGAAAATTACCGACAACATATATTTGCCGCAGCTTCATAAAAAAATCGATTCCATAAAGTAATGTGTGTATTCCACAATTCAAATTATAGCAAGGACTGTGTGGTAGTAAAGCAAGTGAACAAGTTTCCACAGTTGTCCGTCAGACTTGCTGAAACGAATGGGAAAATTTTCTTCTGGATGAATTGCCTGGAGAGGCATAAATATCCATAAGAAATTTTGAAAGAATATTAATCAATGAAATTAGTGCCCCTCAAGGGCAGTTCAAACATATACATATATATCATGTATACGCAAGCGCTGTCAACCCTTTTTGACCGTTGTTTCGAAAAAGTAAAAGCCCTCTGGTCGACATCCAGTCTTTTCTTTTGTCTTTGCGTGCTATTTTTGTTGTTGTCATTGTTGACGTGCAATGAGGACAGATTAGCCAGCACACTAAGTTATTGTTCATTTATAGTCTACTAGGTTATAGCTGCGGTCATAACAATTATGCAACTCACGAATCAACACATACCAGTTAGAGAGATCACTGAAAAAACCATCAGAAGAGCACTGCTGGACATCTGTTTCGTATTTAGTTTGACATTTCTTCAGAGAGTACGCGCAACCACCAGAGTATGGACCTGGGACGCTTAGGTTATGAGATCAAACTGCTTGACCATTCACACTATGGAGGCCTGCTTAAACCTTGAGGTACCAAAAACTTTCATCTCTCCACTGTATATATTTTCTTTCGTTCGCTTTTTTTAATCAGTTAAAATATGACCTCTACTGGTATTATCTATTCTGGTGCGTATTTAAAATGCTGAGAAGCTTCTGATTCGCTATTTCCTACTAAACTTGAGGAATGGCCTGATTGTGGTTAGCAACATGTTCCGATACATGAGACAACTGTTCTTCAGTTATATCCTTGGGTCTCAAAATGTACTCGTGAATATCTTACAATCGGCTGTCAACTAGATATCGTGGGTGGATTTCTGGAAGGAGGCAAAGCAAACATATCATAATGGGTTAGGTTTTGCTTCAGCTCAGATTCCAGTGTGTTACAGGATGTGCCCTCAATCAACACTTTACTTGAAGATATTTGACGAAGGGAAAATATCACGCAGTAAACCCCTCTGAAAATTCTGTACACTTTATAAATATTGTCCAGAAGAAAGATGTTATTATTATTAGCCGGTGGCACAGCAGTAGAATGCCAGCCGACCACGCCTCATGTGGCCCGGAGTTCGACCCCCGACTGACGCCGCACTCCTTTACCTCACTAAGCCAGTAATCAGACTAGTAAAGAGGAAAGGTTGGATATGAGGCTAGTAACCCCACCCCGTTAAAAAAATAAACACCACTGCTAGCGAAACTTCAAGCCTCTCGCTTGAAGCCCTACCTATGTTCCACTGGGAAGGTAAAGGAATACATTGTTGTTATTACTGCTGTAAGTAGTAGTAGTATATCCCCACTATAGTGATCATTGAGAAACTTAAGAAATGAATCCCCAGTTGTGTAGTGAGAAAAGCGTTGACAGTACCCCTCACCCCACCCACCTCAGTGACTTCATCATGGGTATGTATGTATATACAGTTGAAGAATCTTAAGCTAATGACGAAATAGACATTCTACTACACACCTTGGCATTTGACTAGGCCTAAATATAAAATCATTCACTAAACAAATACTCGTTTTGATACTTACATAAAGTTTTATAAACAAGAATTCTTTACAAATAAATGCAAAAATTAATTTGGTGGATGGTGACTAGTCCTGTTTTGGACTCGTCATCTATGTGATATACCTGCATTCCACAGTGATTGATGATGTTCCCACCGAGGCTAGAACCCAGTGCCCATAGTTTCAAACACACAAAGCGGAATGCAGGTACATCCAGTTGACGAGTGCCAAATAGGAAAATGCGCACCCTTAATTCCACTGCTAGCCACCATCTACCAAATAATTCTCTAATTACATTCGCAGACATTGTAGAAGCATCTGCACAAGAAGCCGACGTGTTAACCTGAGACCGAGCAATTCGAACCAATCAATCGAGAGGAGAATTTAAAATTCAGTTAAATACAAAAATTGTCTATTTGACAAATGAGAAAATAAGTTGGAGCAAAAGACGTATACAAAAGGATTTATAAGAATTGAATAAGAGGAGAAAGAAGTCAGTCCTATGTACAATCTCTGTCTTACAGAAGAGACAGAAAACAGAAAAAAGAGAAGATGAAGGCGAATACGAAAAAAAAATTCGACTAGGATCTATGAGACTACACACAGAGTGAATCATCACATTAACAAGCTACCTAACTGACTAGCTAACTAACTCGGTAGTTGGTACTGTCGTCTGTGGTGTTGTTACTGGTGGTGTTTGTACATCAGCATACTCCGGCGTTGTTATCCCAGGGACATAAAATTTTGATTTTTTAGCTTCAAAAAATGTATAATTCAATACTATCGTGTTAAGTGATTTCAATCGTGGATCTGATGTAATCTCTGGATCAATATAGAAGAATACAGGTAGATCAACCTATAGATACACAAAAGACGAAAAAAGGCAATAGAAAAGTTACAATCAGTGTTAATCATATGATTTCAAATTCCAAATAGAACACCGAGAAATTGATAAAGAAGACATTATGGTTAGCTATGATATTAACTCATCATATACTAGTATCCATCCCTATTACCGAAAGTCTTGATATCATTTCCAGTCTACTAGAATCAGATACAACGCTATCACATAGATGTCCACTGAACGCCAGTGAAATGATTAAGAGCTTGAAATTCTGTCCAGAAAGTAATAATTTTACATTGAAAGGGAATTTATATAGACATACAAATGATGTTGCTATGGGCTCACCAGTTTCCCCAATAATCTCTGATCTTTTCATGAATATATTCGAAGATAACATCTTTTCAAACATACTCACTTCTAAAATATGGTTAAGATATGTAGATGATACTTTTGTAGTGCTAAAACGACCGAGATCTACACAGTGTTCATTCTTGGAGGAAATAAACACTCAATCTCCCAGAATCAAGTTTACTTCAGAAGCAGGCAGAATCAGACGTCTATGAACTACCATCTCTAGACTGCCTAGTTAAGAGGAGGGAAAACGGACATTTTAGTGTATCTATATTCAGGAAGAAAACCCACTCAAATAAATATTTAGACTTCAAGTCATCACACCCCATCAGCTCAAAGGTATCAGTTGTTTCAAGTCTTCTTAGATGAGCACACTATATGATAACCGACGAGAAAGAAAAAGAAATATCAAACATTACTGAAGCTCTCAAGCAAAACAACTACCCATGGAACTTCATCAACAAAATCAACACTCACATTAAGTGTGGCCGAAAACGCATTCCGAAAACATGGACATCAACAGTTGTTATTCCATATAGAGTGGAGACGTCAGACGATATCAGAAAAGTACTCAATCAGCTCGACATCACAGTTCTTTTCAAAACATCAGATACACTGCGAAATAACCTTGTCCATGTAAAAGATCAAATCACTAAGGATTCTCGATCTAATTGTGTCTATAAAATAAAATGCTTGCTTGGAATGTGATGCGATATACATCGGACAAACATCACCAGAGAGAAATCAAAATCAGAAGAAATGAACACCGTAGAGCATCTCTTCGACCACCGAGAAATCCCGTTGAACTACAAAAACTTGAAAAATCATCAGCCATAGGTCTACATGCTATAGAATCAGGCCAAAAAAATTGATGTTGACAATATTGGAATTGTCCAGAAAAACTTCAGAAATCACAAAGAACGTCTAATATCAGAAGCACTTCATATCAAGTGGAATCAAAATTGCCTGAATAGGAATGATGGACTAAAACAGAATCTGACCTGGTTACAACACCCCACCGCTGCCCTTGAAGTGACAACATCAACACGAATGTGATAAGCAATTTCAATATGTAAACACACGCTGTTTTTACACACCGATCAAATCCAACAATCCACACTTGATTGTTATCTTTACCAATTGACCAACTTGACAACGAAAAATGAACCCAGACTAACGAACGATGATCAAGTTAGTAAACTTTATTTTGATATCATAACAGACGTACTATTACCTTTGTTATTTGGTTTAGTGATATTCATTGCTATTTTTACTTTCAATATGTCCTTTCAAATTGACCTATGTCTATTTTCTCACCTCTTAACTCTTTGTTATATATATGCTGAAATTTTGTAAATTCCGGTTTAATAATACTTTGACAAAGCTATTAGCTGCATTAAATAGCGAAACGTCAGTAAAAACAATATCGTTTTGTTTTTCATTCATTGGGAAATACAAAAACCTTTATTATAGTGTTACTCTCCAATCGATAAATTTGAATAGCACCACAAGATTATATATATGCATAAATATCTAGAATATAGACATTATCGATTTCATGGATTAATTTGACCGCTGATTGAATTTGAGTTTTCAATGTGGGGAATAAAATGGATCCGAGACATGGCAAAGAGTGAATCCATTTTAGCTACCACCACTGAGAACCATTTCCAGCCATACCATCAATGATCTACAGCCATTGGTTCTTGGCGTCTTCAGGATCCCAGACATACAATCTGCACCTCTTTCTACGTAGATACCTTGAACCAACACTTGAAGAATTCAGGGATTGACTCCACATTTTGATTTGATCACCTTTAACCCTCTTCCGACCTAATCATAAGCCAGCTAACATTACCAGACAAGGAAGGCAATGACTTAGTATTTTTTATTCCTTTACGTTCCCAGTGGAACATAGGGAGGGCTTCAAGCAAGAGGCTTGAAGTTTCGGTAGCAGTGGTGTTTATTTTTTTAACGGGATGGGGCTGCTAGCCGCATCATGCCAAACCTTCCCTCTTTACCAGCCTTATTACTGGGCTTAGCGAGGTAAAGGAGTGCGTCCAGTGACCGGGAATCGAACCCCGAACCACGTGAGGCATGGTCGGCTAGCATTCTACCGCTGTGCCACCGACGCTGACAACTTAGCATGAGGTAACAATATGTCCTGGCCACTCCAATCGATAGGTAGCTTTAGCACCTCATTGATTGACTAGCTCTCCTTACCCTAACGTTCTACTCCTAGCCTCAATATTACTCACTATATGACTACAGTTAACACGACAGGTAGAACGCAAACATGTATGGCCCTCCACTTTAAATAACCATGTCTCACACGTCCCTGGACTAATAACCGAAATATAGTCACACTGAGCATGCCTGACGGTCACCAGTGATTGTTATCATTTCAGACAACAACTCTTCATAAACTCTTATGCCACTGCATGAATTCAAGTAAAATGAAACCCTGTAACCAATCAAATCCCTACAAACCAACACTTGAATATCGATGACATGCTTAATAGCGACTAATCTTATTCAGGTAGGTAGTTACTTGGGGCTCTAGTGGGAATTCGTGACCAGTAAGGTGCAGCAGGTCGGGTGTGAGGACAAATACTCGCCGAAGACATTCGCTAGCGGTCGCGCCACGTCGTGAAGTGGCAGAAGTTAGAATTCATGGGCCATAGGATCAAGTCTCAGTGGCTTGGTGGTCTACGAGCTAGCTCGCCTTGTAACCAGAAGGTCCTGGGTTCGAACTCCTGTGTGTGGGTGCGTACTGAAGAAGAGGCCCAAAACTAGGACGAAACAGCTGTCCAGTACTCCCTGGCAGGTTTTCCAATGGTTCTATAACTAATGTCAGCTCATGATGAAATCCTGTCAGCAGTCAATCAAATCCTTACAAACCAACACTTGAATAAAGTGAGTTCACTGTCAGACGTCACCACGACACTTCACGATCGATAGATGCAACACTCTCCAGATCAAGAAGTATGACGTATACCTGCTAACCAGAACCTGTCAAAGAGTGAAGATATGATGAGTGAATTCTAGTCGAAACCTGACGTCTTCACAATTTCAATTAATGTTTATATAACTAAGAACCCTTGGATTTTAACCACAAAACTAAAACATTTAAAACTTCTATAGAACTCATACTTATAATCTTTGATACTGAAAGTCAAAAAAAATATAAGTGTTTTAATAATTCCATATTATTTTGTTTATTAGATAAATCACACACACACACAGTGAACTAGTATTATTTAATGTCGAACAGAATTTATTGTTCATAATCATTTCATCAATTATAATCACACAACTTCGAAACTTGCGTTTGATAGTTTTCTTTGTCTTCTCTTATTTGTCGTCATTGGCGTAGTAGAATTTTCCAGATGTCCGAGTGGACAAGTGTTGAATCATTCCTATTACACGTTCATTCGCAGTTGATTTGACAAATAAAGCTTCCGTTGTCAATCTGCCCATCCCCACTCTGTTACAATAGATTTTAAAACTGTCATCTTAAGCAATCCTATTGCATGGGATGACATTATGATTAGGAACAACAATAAATTGTGTTCGAAACGTCATCATCCAGTAAATGATACTGTTTCACTGTGTGTGTGATATATCTAATAAACAAACTAATAGGAAATGACAACATTCTTGCACACTTTGTAGACAGTGAGCATGAAATTGTTGTTCGTACATCACTTAAAGTCATTTATCATATTCCTACTAATCTTCATTTTGCTTTACGAGTTCGTCTTCTATATACAGCTGAAGTCATTGGAATCCACCTGTGGAAGAAGCCAAACCTGTGTGTTCAGAATAAATTCGTACAGCCACTTTCCATACCTTAGCCGTCTCATTACATGAATGTAAAAACCTGACCATTTCACTCTCTCCCTAAGTTGTTCTTTTTTTTCAAAAAACTATCATAAACCAAATTATTTTATTCTTATGACTACTTCATATTTAATTGTTCATTACGTAATCAACTCGAACACTCAATTATTCCTAACTTACTCTTTGTTTTTCCACAATTATGCATCATGCAATCCACTGGTTGTAAACCATTTCTACCCTTTAATTGTTTGTTCGTTAACTATCACACACCCCTTGAAATATTGATATGAACTAATTATTGTTAGCAAACCTATCACCACTAGTTTGGAAAAGAAGCTTGGCAGAAGTTAGAATTCATGGGTTGGCCATTGAATCGGACCCCAGTCACTTAATGGTTTACCAAAAATTTTGATGATTTCTAAGAAAATATTCCATCTTACCTTCTACATCAAGAAGTTAAGACATTCTGGAATAACCCAACCCAACCCTTACTCCTACGATTCGTTAACTCTTGCATCCTGCCTTTTATTATTCTCTATTGTTCCCCCTAAGTTGTTCCAGGGCTACTAAGGAAGGACTTTAACATATTACGCAGGATGTTAAAGGTTGTCAGCAGGGTAAGCAACGTGCCACTTAACCAGCTTGTTAATATTCTGATCGACAGGCACTTGGACTCATGTGAAAAATGGGCTAAATCCATTCTGTCTAACTCACACCACCCTCTTCATTCACAACTCTCCCCTTCCATCTCATCAGACAAAACCAGAAGCCTATATAGAAAACTGTATGCTCGCACCAGCAAGTACAAAAACTCAACCATACCCTACTTAGCTCATGTTCCGTGCGATAAAGAAAGCATTAGGCGTGAAACCTATAACTTATTAAATAGTCAGTAGAACAACTGGATCTCGTCTTTCCAACTCATATCATTTATAGGTAAAACGTTTTCTTTCTTTTATTTTTTTCTCTCTCTTTTTTCTGTTATGTACTGCTTTGTTTCTTTCTTC